GGACAGGGGGGGGGGGCCGGCCCGAAGGGGACGAACACAACGACGTAGACCGAAAATAAAGATGTCCGAACTCAAGAAGCACAGCTGTTCACGAAAATAAAGGTTCCGTGGCCCAGGGGGCTACCCTGGGAAGCGTGGACAGGGGGGGGCGAGGGGGACGAACGACACGACGAAAGACGAAAATAAAGATGTCCGAGCTCTAGAGCACAGCTGTGCAAGAGAATAAAGGGTTCCGTGGCCCAGGGGGGCTACCCTGGGAAGCGTGGACAGGGGGGGGGGCGAGGGGGACGAACGACACGACGAACGACGAAAATAAAGATGTCCGAGCTCTAGAGCACAGCTGTGCAAGAGAATAAAGGGTTCCGTGGCCAGGGGGGCTACCCTGGGAAGCGTGGACCGGGGGGGGCGAGGGGGACGAACGACACGACGAACGACGAAAATACATATGTCCGAGCTCTAGAGCACAGCTGTGCAAGATAGTAAACTTTTTCGCCGTCGGGGACACCTGCCCCTGGGCGGCTGGAAAGTTTGTACCCCTACTGTGCCACCGTACGGGTATAAACTTTCCAGCCGCCCTGGGGCAGGCGCCCCCAACGGCGAAACAGTTTATTTATGTTATGCCGTCCTTCGCCCGTTAATGCAGAGAGGAAGATGGTGGCGGCAGGCAGGCCCGCAGGCCGTCGGTGCTGGCTGGGCAGAGCGGGCCGGGGCCATCCTGGGGGGAGGCGGCGCGTGCGCTCTCGGCCGCCCGAGCCTGGAGAGCAGCGGTGGCTCGCGTGCTCCCTGCCGTGCCCCTCGCCCTGGGGGAAAAGTCAAGCAGTGGCAAAGCTTCATGGCTCGGGGGCGGAAAAGAGGGGGGTGATGACTAGGGGGGGGTGGATATCATGGCGTGGGCCATGGTATTTCCCCAGGTTTCATTGCGCCTCTTCTTCTTTCATTACGTCCCTGGCCCCCCCGCTGGGCCGCGCACATGCCGCCGGTCATGATTTGCACCCCCCCCTCTTGGACACCCCCCTCTTGGCCGCTCCCGACTGGCGTTCCTATAGTCCTACCAAACAATGTGCTAAGAGCCTTTTGTGGCTCCCACGAAGTGTTCTCAGAACATTTCTGGCTGGGACTCTCTTGTTTTATCACATCGGGGTTATGTTCTAAGGACACTGTTTTGTCCTTAGAACATTTCTGGGTTCTAAGAACACTTCGAGGTAGGACTACAGGGATGCCGGGACGGTCGGTCCCTGCTCAAGAAAGGGAAAGGCGGCTCCTTCTGCTTTCTGCTTGTCTGTCGTCGCAACGTTTGGCGAGGGGGGGAGCAGTGTTGCCCCCCCTCGCCGACAGTCTGCGACGGCAGGGAGCAGGAGAGACTTGCAGTGGGTGATGGCTCGGCCTGTCTTGCGCTGTGCCTCTGCGGTAGGCGCGTCTGCGCAGGTCTGCGTGCCACTGTGCTGCGAACACAAGAAAAAACGATCAATCGCCGCCGGATGGCGATTGATCGTTTGTTATTGTTTTACTACGCCCGTTCCCATGCGAGCTAGTCGCATCGAAGACGATTGGGTACACCACTTCTTGCCAGCTTTAGATGAGATGCGTTTCGGTATCACAGCGAAGCTGGTCCATTCATTGTCGATTCTGCCTGGCCAGCTCATGTCAATACCAGAGTCCGATTGCACCCTCTGCTCGGCACCGTCCCATCTTGTGTTGATCCCCATTTGGGTATGTATCCATCTTCTACTGTCCATGCTCCCTGAAGCAGATCAGCATGCCAGGTCTCCCCGACAAGCTTATTTGGCCCAGGCTTTTACTCTATCAGGTACATGTCTCTATTATTTTAAGCTGCTCTTGCATGCTTACTGCACGCAGGCCCGCCAACGAATGGTTGTCCGCACTTGTCTTGGCGAGTGCGCTAGTTGAGGCGTCTCAGCTCGTCGTCAGCGACGCGCTCTTCCTCGGTGGGGCGACGCTGGAATCCCCGAGCGTTCCCACGGAGCCAGGCTGCTTCGTCTGGCTGCCGTCTGGGTGCCCAGGCGTGATCGACATCGACAGAGAGGAGACGATCCTGTTCGCAGCCTCAGTCAACACCTCCGCTTGGCTTCATGATGCAGGGGGCGAGAAACAGTCTGGGGCGCCCATCCAGAAGCATCAGAAGGCTTCTCGGAAGGCTTGCGAAGCACGTGCCCAGCACTTCAAGATGGTGTGTGCCGTCGACGACGCGGAGATGCTCTTTGTCGAGGAGGGGGCCCTCCACGCCGACCAGCCTGCTGCGATGGCCAGCATCGAGCTGCCCGGCGACGAGGCCGCAGCCCCGCCGGAGCAGGCCCCGGACATGGCCGACGCTGCGCAGCCTGCGGGCGGCACCGCCCAGCCTGCCGCCGTGACCACTGCGCCCACCGGCGACGCGGACCAGTCCACCGCGGCGCCCATGGCACCCGCTGGCAGCGCCGACCGGCCCGAGGCGGCGACCGCGGGACCCGGCGGCGGCTCCGAGCAGCTCGCCGCCAGCGCCACGGGGGCGCCCGCCGCCGCCGCCGCGGCGGCCCCCGCAGGCGCGGCTGGCCAGCCGGCCGCCGGCAGCGATACTGGGGAGGTGCCCGCCGCCGTCGCCGAGGCCGCTCAGGAGGCAGAGGCGAAGGCGCCAGCCGTCAAGGGGTCCGCGAGGCCGCGGCCAAGGAATGAGCTGATCCCGAAGCCACTGCAGCCGTGGGCCGCGGCCGACAACGCGGACGACCCTCGCGACGACGACCTCGGAGTTGGAGCTGGCAAGAGCGACGACGGCTTGAGCGCTGGCAGCCAGAAAAGCACCCACGCCAGCTCGGAGCCTCTGCTGGCGCCTGGACCACCTGACCCTGCCACGGAGCAGTCCGCCAAGCTCTCGCCGATGGCCTCACAGGTGCTGCCAAGCTGGGCCCCGAGTCTTCCAAAAGCGTCCGGCTGCTACGTCTGGACGCCGCAAGGATGCCCCAGGCAGCCCACCTTCCATGCAGACGTGTGGAAGCAGGACAAGTACGGCGAGTTGCACAATCACGCCGCCAGTAGCAAGGCGGCCTGCTTCGCGCGCGCGCAAATGTTCAACGATTGGTGTGGCACCACCAGCGTAGTGATGGTGCTGGTTCTGGCCCCAGCGGTGCCAGTTGCGACGAGGCCCGACGCGGCCTACGAGGGTATTGCGCAGAGCGACGCGCCCGATCTGCCGACCGAGGCGGGATGCTACGTGTGGACGCCCAGCGGCTGCTCGAGGCACGCCAGCTTCCACGCGCGCTACCACTGGAAGCGGGACCTCGAGGGCGAGGCGCGGTCCAGTGCCGCCTGGGACCCCGCGGCGTGCCAGGCGCGCAAGGCCACGTTCGACGCCTGGTGCCCGAGGGTAGCCAAAGAGCGTCCGCAGCCTCGGCCTCGCGGCCCTGGGCCCCCTGGGGCCGCGGCGCCGCGGAAGTGTGTGTGTTTTTTTCTCGCGGGTGCTCCGCGCGGAGCGCATCAGTGCATTGGCGTATCCGCGGGGGCGCGCCCCGGAATTTCGATCGCGAGGGCGCGGGTACGCAGGTGGGGGAGGGGAGGAGGAGGAGGAGGAGGAGGAGGAGGAGGAGGAGGAGGAGGAGGAGGAGGAGGAGGAATCGAAAGAAGGGAGGAGGAGGAGGATAAGGCAGGCCTTGGGGGGGAAAGAGGAGGAGCAGGAGTTCGGCGTTCGTGAGGTGCGGCGTGCAGGACGCCGTGATGCGCCTGGTCCGCCCAGAGGCCCGACGCCAGCCGGAGCAGCCCGCGCAGCCGGGGTGCTACGTGTGGCAGCCCAGCGGCTGCCCGAGCAGGGGCGTCAGGAGCTCCTTCAGGTGGAGGGTTTCTCCGAAGGGCTTAGGCGACCCGTCCTCCTACTCCTCCTTCTCCTCCTCCTCCTCCTCCTTCTCCTCCTCCTCCTCCTCCTCCTCGGGTCGCCTACGGCCCCGGGGGAAACCGTCCACCTTCAGGTGGAAGCACGACCGATGGGCCGAGCAGAACGCGGGCGCGCGTTACGACGCCGTGATCTGCTCCAAGCGCAAGGCCACGTTCGACAACTTCTGCGGCACGAGCGACGCCGAGATGGCCTTCGTGGCGGAGGATCCCAGAGCAGGAAGAGGCACCTATGGCGCTACCCGGGCCTCGTCTTCGCCTTTTGGGATCTCCTGGGAGGCCCTCGTCGCCACGGCTGGATTCGCCTCAACACTTCGGTCAGAGCGCACCATGGGAGAGGTGCAGGGCGTAGCGGTTTCGACATCTCTTGGCTCCCCGAGGATTGGGCGAACCGCTACAGCGCGACGCCGGAGGACGACGGCCGCGGCCATCGCCGGGAGCACGGCGGCCAGGGCGAGCGGCTGCGACCGCGCCCCAGCGCCCCGCGAGAGGAGGCCAGCGACCTGCTGGCGCCTCCAGCGGGCGGCGTGCGCGCCCCCCTCCCCGCCCACGCCGGCGCGCTGCCCGCCGACGCCGAGGCTCGAGAGGGAAGCAACTACGTACTCCAGATTTCGTAATAAAAGGGAGGGGGTCTGGACCCTCCAAGACAGGCCATTTCAGACCTCCCCCGTGGGAGAACCCTCCAAAACATCGTCCCCAGACCCCCCCAGGCCCTCCAAGATAGCCTGCAAGAGACCCCCCCCCCGAAATGAGACCCCCCTCCCTTTCTTACGAAATCTGGAGTAACCACGAACTCCTGGAGCTCCGCGCGGAGTTCGCGGGGCGGCGCTGGGCCCCCCTGGGCGCCGCCTCCGTCGCCTCCCCACGCGCCAGGGGGGAGAGCCCCAGTATCGTTTCACCGGCCCCCATCCCCGTCCCCATCCCCTTCGAGCCTCCCGCCAACTTGCCCCCCCCAGTTGGGGGATGTGCCCCTCGAGACCCGAAGGCTACGGCCTGCGTCCCGGTCTAGGGGGGGTGAACCAGCCAGTGGCGCCCAGGCCACGCTGGTGGGGATGGGGATCGGTTAAGCGATACTCGGAGCCGGGCTCCGCGCGGAGCGTCGAGGCTTTCGGTCTGTGCCTCGGCATCGCTCGGACGTGTGCATTTTTCTTTCGGCGAGGACCATCGAGGAGCATTCTTCGCGAAAAAAACACGCACGAAATCGAAAAAAGCACAGGAAATGGACGTCCGAGCGATGGCCAGGTGCGGCTTCGCGTGCTCTCCGGAGGCGGCGCCGCCGGCGCAGGGCCCCACGGAGCCCGGCTGCTTCGCGTGGGTCCCCGGGGGCTGCCACGGCCACGGCGAGCGGGGACCTCGGCGGCGGCATCCGAGCCAGACCCACGCGGCGATCGACGTGTTTTATTGTTCCATGCCCCTGCTGCTGCCCCGTTCTCAGCTCTCATCGAGGGGACTGCATACTGCCCATTGTGGGATCACGCTCTGCGGCGTGACAGCGAGGCACTGGTGACCTGTCGGCTCTCGAGTGTAGTACACGTGCTTATCACGAGCAGGTGAATAGTTCACGAAGTGGTCCTCTATGCTGCCGAATTTTCAAACATAATACATAACCCTGCTGCTGCCCCCCCGCACTTCTCTGGCACCGCTCGGGCGTGTGCACACGCTCTCTCGGCGGGGGCCGTCGAGGAGCACCCTGGTTCATCGAGCAAGACACTCAGGAGGAACAAAAGCACACACAGACACAATGAATCGTCGATCCCCCAGAAAACATGGGAACATATGGGAATTGGGGGGGAAGACAAAAACCCAGAACATGTGGGAGAATATGGGGAATCTGTTTATTTGTGTGTTTTTTTTGTGTGTGTCCCAGGGCCCCTGCACACACGCACGGAGCCGAAGCAGGCACGGGGCAGGGGCGCCCGAGCGAAACGCCGAGCTCTGGGCGCCGGGGGAAGAAGGGCCTGTACAGTCGGGGCACTGAATAAGGAACCCTTTTCGTTGGGGAGGGGCTCGGTGTTCCTCAATTGTTCCACGCCTTGCCCAATGTTTTCCTGAAGTTTTTGGTTGCAGGTCGAGGGTTAACTTATGAACAAAAAGGGGCTTCGTTCCTCATTTAGGGTTCCTTAGGTCAACGCCCCGACTGTGCTGTGAAAGCACGTGGCCCCAGAAGCCGGGAGCTCATCCGCATCCCCGCTCGGGCTCCTCGCGGCGTCGGGGCGCGAGCAGGGGCATGGACCAACTGTCGATCGCCTGCACGGTCGCCGCTCCACGAGTCAGGCAACTCGAGAGGTCGTGGTGGCAGGCTTCGGAGTCGTCGAACACGTTTCGGGCCGGACGAAAGGGGGGGATAGGGAAAGGGGGGGGTACGAAATCTGCTGCATGCAGCTGATTTCGGTCCCGCCGCCGGGCCCATTCCTCGATACACGTCGGGTTGACCCAGCGACAAGGGGGTGGTGCAACAGATTTGGTGCATTAGATTTTTGGGGTTGTAATACATTTGGGGCGTGCAATACTTTCGGGGCACAAATGTATTGCTGTATTTCCGCGTGCAGCACATTATTTGCAATGCAACACAATGCAATACAAGTCTCTGGCGCAATAGATTTGCAATACAATTTCCACAAATGTATTGCACCACCCCCTTTCAGCTGGACCCCCTTCTGGGTAACCCATGGGCGCCTCCGGCGCCGGGAGGCGCCGGGACAATCAGCTACGTGAGCTGATTCTCAAACCCCCCTCCCCCCCTTACGCCCGCCCGAACGTTGAGAAATCCGAGCCCTACCGCCGCCTCCCATCATTCCAGAGAGTCGGTGTTTGGTGAGGGAAGGGCTCGGATGCCGCCACCCAGGACCGCCCCGACTTCAGCAGCAGTCCGGGCACGAGCAGCAGGCGGGGCTAGAGGAGCAGCACAAACACGTAAAAATTAACTTTTTCGGATCTCCGTACGGATTCCTTGAATCGGCGTTGGATCACCTTGGCGGCGCCTCGGGCGCCCCTTGGCGCGCTGTGCGAGCAGGGGAGGGGAGGGGTCCAGCGCCAATCCAAGAAATACGCGCGGTTCATTGAGAATTCATGTGTCTGCCGTTTTTGGTCCTCTTGGAAGGGGGAGGTACTCCAGGGCGAGATGGGGGACCAACAGAATAGATGGGCGGAGGACTGCGGAGGGGGGCAAGCAGGCCGAGAGGGGAGGACAGGGAGGGGGAGGCGGTTGGGGATGGGGGAGGGAAGGGAGGGAGGGAGGGAGAGACCTGCGGCAGTCTATTCCCGAAGCAGTGCTTGCACTCTGGGCTTCTTCTCTCGTTTCTAAGCGGGCCGGTCTGGCGGCTACGTTGTCGCCGTCGCCGCCCCGGCGCCGCCTCGTCGCCGCCCGTCGCCTAGACTGCATAACGCAGATTGCATCGCATATGCTGCACCACGTAGATTCTCCTTTCTAAGAGAAGACTAGACTCTACCCCCCCAGGAGTTGACGATACACCTTTTCGCATTGCAATTTACATGTGATTCTGCCCCATCGCCCATCCTAACAATGAGTTCATACTATCCCAGCCACACCGGTATCACTCCCCCCCGCCATCCTCTGCAAAAAATACAATGCGCGCACTCTCGCTTATCAAAAATCAGAAGTTTTCAAGAATCCCTTGCAACAAATGGGACGAAGTGCACGCGCGCGTCGTCGCGCGCGCATGCCGAAATCCTTCAAGAACCTGCGGCTGTGGAAGGATTTCACAATCGTGTGTCCAAACAATATATAAAAAACATGGTTTCGCAACACTGAGTTTCTAAAAAAGCTTACGCGCGCGCTCTTGCGAGATCTTCAGAAAACCATAGGTTGTTCCAGATTCCACAAAAAAAGCTACCAAACGGGCGTCGCGCGCGCATGTCGAAATCTTTCGAACGCCCTTGCGCGCGTGCCGTCGCGAGAATCCTCCGCAAAAAATGGGACGAAGTGCAGACGCGCGCATCGTCGCGCGCGCATGCCGAAATCCTTCTAAAACCTTCGGTTTCGGAAGGATTTCAAAATCGTGTGTCCTAAAAAGATACACATTCACAAGGTTTCGCAACACGGATTCTCAACAAAAGCGTGCACGTGCGCTCTTACGTCGTCGTCGTCGTCGTCGTCGCTGTCCACCCTCCTCCGTCGTCGTCGTCGTCGTCGCCGTCGTCGTCCTCTGTCTTTCCTCGTCGTCGTCGTCGTCGTCTTGGCGTCGTCGTCGTTTCCGTTGTCGTTGTCGCCGTGGTCGTCCTTCCTCCCTTGTCGTCTTCGTTGGCGTTTCGTCGTTGTCCCTCCTATTTCGTCGCCGTCGTCGTCGTCGTCGTCGTCGTCGTCGTCCCTCCTCCCTCGTCGTTGTCGTCGTCGCCGTCGTCGTCCTCCCTCCTCCCTCGTCGTCGTCGTCGTCGTCTTCGTTGGCGACGTCGTCGTCGTCGTCGTCTTCGTCGTCGCCGTCGTTGTCGTCGTCGTCGGCGGCGGCGTCGTCGGCGTCGTCGGCGTTGTCATCGTCGTCGTCGTCGTCGTCGGTTTTGTCGTCGTCGTCGTTGTCGTCGTCGTCGAAGTCTTTGGAGTCGTCGTCGGTGTCGTCGTAGTCGTCGGCGGCGTCGTCGTCGTCGTTGTCGCTGTCGTCGTCGGCGTCGGTGTCGTTGCCAAGTGCCATTTGGTACCCACCGTCACGGTGATAAGAGATCTTGCGACCAAGTTGCGGGTAGGAGGGTGAGATGTTTTCACGAGCAGTGAAGTTGACAGTTTCAAAGTCGACACGTTGATTGCAACACAGAGGTTGCACCACATAGAGTACATATTATGTTTACATACATACATGCATGCATGCATACATACATACACACAGACATATGTCCATTCATCCATCCATCCATCCATCCATCCATGCATACACACATACACATACATGTACATTTACATATACATATACATAGACACACACATATACATATACCGTTACATAAACCTTATACATGTACATGTACATATACATATACATAGTCATAGACATAATCAAGTACATACATACATACATACATACATACATACATACATACATACATACATACATACATACATACATACATACATACATACATACATACATACACACATACACACATACATACATACATACAGACATGCATACAGACATGCATCCATACATACATACATACATACATACATGCATACTTCATACATACATACATACATACATACATACATACATACATACATACATACATACATACATACATACATACATACATACATATCTATGCGTGTATACATCTATGCGTGTATAGGTCGAGGACGCCGGCGGCGCATCACCGGCCGCTCCCTGGGAGTTTACCGAAGTGGTGCGCAGCATCGAAATGTGTGACGCGGCGCGTATGCCAGCTATCAAATGGCCGTCGGCCCATCCCGCGACCGTGCTTGGGTTTTGGGTCGGAGTCCTCATGGACGCTTCTTGGGGTCTCTCGAGAGGGCTTTCGGGGACCTCTGCGGGAGAGTTTAGGGGCCTCTTGGGGGCCTCCTGGGGGCTTCTTGGGAGCCTCTTGGGGCCCTCTTGGGGGCTCTTGGGGGCTCTTGGGGGCCTCTTGGGGCCTCTTGGGAACCTCCTGGGGGCCTCTTAGGTCCTCCTGGGGGCCTCTTGGAACCGAAAGCTCGAAATGTCCGTTCGGGTTCCCCGTCTGGGCCCCCTCTTGGGGCCGTCCTGGGGCCCTCTTGGGCCGTCCCAGGGGCCTCTTGGGCCGTCTTGGTGCCCTCCTGGGCCGTCTTGGAGCTCCCTTAGGGGGCCTTTTGGGCCGTCTTGGGGCGATCTTTAGGGCCTCTTGGGCCGTTCTGGAGTGTCGGGAAGCCAAAGTGACGAGAACACCCAAATCCTTCAAAAACAATGTTTCAAAAATCAGTAAATTTTGCTTCTTGGGGCCCTCTTGGGGGGTGCTCTTGGAGGCCTCTTGGGGCGTCTTGGAGGCGTTTTGTGCCCTCTGGGGGCCATCTTGGGCGTCTTGGAGCGATCTGGAACCGTCTGGAGGCTCTCTTGGACCGTCCTGGGGCTCTCTTGGACCGTCTTGGAACGCTCTTGGGTCGTCCCCGGGCCGTTCCAAACGTTGAGGGGGTTGAGGCCGGGGGGGGGGGCGGCGGCAGAGTGGGGCCCCCTCGGAGGGACTTTCAGGAGGTTTTTTACCAGGCACTGGCGAAGGGGACCAAAGACTGTGCCAAACACTCTGTCCGAGAGGTCTCGCACGGTCCACCCCGCAGGGCGGGAGCGGCCGGATACACATATACATATACATATGTGTATACATATATATGTATATATATATATATATATATATATGTATATATACACATGTAAATAGCTCAAGGGCTTCGACCTCTGCCGCCGGCCCCCCTGTTACCAGTGCGCGCGGCTGCGTGGATGGCGCCGTGGGTGCTTCTCGTGGCAGGCTTCTCGGCAGCGCCTGCGGGTCACTGTTGGAGCTTCTTGGAAGTCGTTTTGGAGCCTCTTGGGGCATAGTTTGGGTCTCCTTGGGTCTCCTCGGGGCCCCTTGGCGGCCTCTTGGGGCCTCTTGGGGCCTTCTTGGGGCCTCCTGGGGCCCTCTCGGGGCGGAAAGGTCGAGTTTTCGGTTCCTGGGCTCCCTCTTGGGCCCCTCTCGGGACCGTCTCAGGGCTCTTTTGGGCCGTCTGGGTCGCCTCTTGGACCGTCTTGGGGCCCTCTTCGGCCATCTTGGGGCCGTCTTGGGGGCCTCTTGGGCCGTCATGGGAGCTTCTGGTGCCGTCGTGGGGCGATCTTGTGAACCTCCTGGTCCGTCTCGGAGCGTTGGGAAGCCCGAAAAGGCGAGAGGGCCAAAAACCTTCAAAAACGTTAGGAAAATCGTTGATTCTTGCTTCGTGGGGCCCTCTTGGGAGGCCTCTTGGAGGCCTCTTGGGCCGTCTTGGCAGCATCTTGGGCCGCCTTGGGCTCCTGAGGCTCTCTTCGGAGCCTCTTCGGGCAATCTTGGAGGTCTCTCCGGCCGTTCTGGCCGCACGGTGGCGTCACCATGAGAATCTTGGGGTGGCCCGGAGCAGCCAGTATTTGAGGTTCACCCCCTGCGTTGGTTGTTTGGTGGCGCGGCGGGGCCCCCTAGCAGACAATAAACAGGAGGCAGGAAACAGGACTGGAGAGACAAAAGGCCAGACAACACATGACACTACAACACATGACAGCAGACCGCACACACCTTCGCAGCCTTGCGCCCCAGGACGGGGTCGGCGGAGATATTGCACCGCGTAGACCGCACCACAGATATTGCACACCATAGACAGCACATCACATATTGCACCGCGTTTTGCACCATAAATTGCACCACACGGATTGTATCACATACATCGCCCCACATTGATAGCACAACATGTACTGCAACACTTAGTTTGTACCACGTCGATTGCACCGCATAAGGTGCGCACCACATACATTGCACCACACATATATTGCACAACATTGGCTGCACCGCATTCATTGTGCACTGCATCGATTTTGCAACATATTATCTATGATAGATTGCAAAGTATAGGTTGCTTCACCTAGATTGCACACCACACGTTGCGAGAAGCATACTGTTCGGGGTCCACGCTGGCGAACGTGTGTGTGTGTGTGTGTATACATGTTTCTTCCTCTGGAGCAGCAGGTGTGGCAGCGCGACTCCTGGGGCGAGGCCAACAAGGGCGCCCGTTTCAGCAAGTCGGCGTGCATGGCGCGGACGTCGGGGGTAATGATGGCAAGGGGGTGTAGGCTCACGGGGGACGCATCGACCTCCGAACGTCCAGTCATCTCCGTTGGGGACCCTATCCCCCCCGTCGATAGCTGGGGGCCCTCATGGAATTCTGGCGTCGTCGATGTTGGCTCCATTCCACCGCCCCCCCCCCGCGCACTGGCGTTTCACATTGAGGCTGCTCAACGTTGCTTCTTCGCCATGTCATGTTTCCCACACGGAATGTGCTTTTGGCCGTTCTGACAGGCGGTGTCATCCCAGCACCGTGCGGATGCGCTGTCGGGGTCCTACCGCCGATCTATCGGCGACGTGCCGCCGCTTCCAGCTCCATGTTCCCGCCCCCCCCCCGTGAGCCGGTCCCCCCCCCAACGTGGCCCCTCAGGAAGGCGTCCTTCGACCACTTCTGCGGCGTGGCCGCCGCGGTGATGGCGTGGGTGGCCCCCGTGCGGCCCCACGAGCCGTCCGAGCCGGGCTGCTACGTGTGGCACCCGAGCGGCAGTCGGCGACCACAATGGGTGTGGTCACGCCAGGGTGTGGTTTGCGGTCGGCGCCGTTGGGGCTCAGAGGCCATCACGTTGCGCCAGGGGCTTGGTGTCGAGGGCAGGCACACGGTGACCACGACCAAGGCGTCGCGGGATCCCGTCGATGTGACTCTGGCCACGGTCCACGTCGGCCGTCGACGGCTCGCGAGGAGATGATCCACGAAACGACGCTGACCAAGGTGGACGGTGACCAAGACCGACGCGAAGACTCCGCGCTCAGTCTTGGTCGTGGCCCCCGCTGCCCTTCCCCTCCGTGATGAGCCCTCGCCGGGGCGCGGCGGAGATCTTTGCCCAGGCCCCCGCCCACCCCCCGCAGGCGCGGGCCGCAACCCACGCCCTTCTGCATACAGTCGGGGCCCTGAAGAAGGAACCCTTTTCGTTCGGGAGGGGCTCCGTGTTCCTTAGTAGTTTTACAGTGATCCTCGGGTGTTCCTGAGGTTTTCCATGGACAGTCGAAGTTCAACGTATGGGATATAGGGGCCCCGGGGCCCCGTTCCTTATTTGGGGTTCCTTAGGTCAACGCCTCGACTGTACCACACCCTCTGCGGAGCCGCCCAGGCTGCCCGCGGAAGCCCGGCGTCAGGGTGGCCACGGAGTGGGTCCACGACGTCTCGGGGGAGAGGAGCCCGAAGAAGAGCGGACGGCACAGGCAAGTTTGGCGTGGGCCTCCTGGGAGACCCTCGTCGCCGCGGCTGGCTTCGCCTCGAGATCCCTTTGTCAGAGCGCACCCCGAGAGAGGTCCAGGGAGCAGCGGCATCGGTACCTGTCGGTCTCCTCAATGTCGATCGCCATCCGTCCCTCGTCGCCACCCGGGGAAGAAGAAAAGCGTCAGCAGCGTAAGCTTCTGGAGGGCCGCGCCGAGTTCTGGGAATGGCGCCGGGGCCCCCCGGCGGCGCCTTGGGCGCGCTCCGCGCGCCAGGAAAGGGGACCTGGCGCCGATCCAGGACGTCCGCGCGGACCTGCGGAGGCAGGTGTCTGCTTGTGCAGCTCTCGTCCACCCAGGAGCATGGACGCCGGCAGCTCCCAGCACGCGTGCGCGCGCAGGAAGCCCCAGTACGACGCCTTCTGCGGCACGTCGGACACGGAGATGCTCTTCGTGGGCACCTCGGCGGGGGCTGGCCGCCACACCACCTACCTGCGCTGAGGGGCCGCTCGGCGCGCCCGGCACTGCGTGCATGCTCGAATTCGTTTTTACGCCTTTGGGCCCAAAGCCGTCCTTCACTAAGTCAAAACAGATGCCCGATCCCAAAAACGCGAGGGCCAAGACAAAATGCAGGCTCCTCGAGACTTCGGGGAGGGAGATTTTGGGGTAGGGTTTTACCAAGGCGACAACGACGAACGCAAGACATACCCCGAATCCTTTGGCCGATCTTCGAATCCTCGGTGAATCCGCGATTTTGGGATTGGGGATGTGTTTTTTCGTGGTCAGTCCTCCTCCCGGGTCAGGGCTGGGAGGAGGAGGAGGAGGAGGAGGAGGAGGAGGAGGAGGAGGAGGAGGAGGAGGAGTTGGAGGGGGAGGAGGAGGAGGAGGAGGAGGAGGAGGAGGAGGAGGAGGAGGAGGAGGAGGAGGAGGAGGAGGAGGAGCCGCTTTGGGGTCCGAAGTGGCCGGGCACCGGGTCGGGCCAGCAGGGAGGGAGGCCGGGCAGGTCCGACGTGCTGGGCTCGGGACGGTCTCCTCGCCCGTTGCGGCTCCCAGGGGCCGTCTCCGGGCCCCGTGGCCGTGAAGGACGGGCCCGAGGTGGAAACCTGCAGCAGATGTATAGGGGAACGAAGGATGACGTAAACATAAAAACTCGCAGGTCCGCCCGGATTTCTCGGATCGTTTCCGGGCCCCGTGGCCGTGAAGGACGGGTCCGAGATGGAAACCTGCAGCAGATGTAGGGGAACGAAGGATGACGTAAACATAAAAACTCGCAGGTCCGCGCGGATTTCTCGGGTCCGCGCCGGGGCCCCCCTGGCGGCGCCTCCGGCGGCGCCCCTGGCGCGCTCCGCGCGCCGGGCAGGGGGGTCCAGAGCCGATCCGAGGAATCCGCGCGGACCTGCGAGTTTTTATGTCTATGTCATTCTTCGTTCCCCTGAGATGGACCCCGGGAGGGCCCAGGGGCCGATTTTGGTGGGGACTTTGCCTCAGCCCCCCCCCCCTCCTGGCAGATCTTCTGGGGTCCCAGCTCGTGGGCGAGGCAGATCTTCGTCTCCGCGGCCTCGCGGGCTGGGCCGCGGGCTCGCGCCCTGGACTCCAGACCGCGAGGGAGTCGGTGGGGATTCGGGGTCACCGCACGGTTCTGGAGCTCGAGTCCCTCACCGAGGATGTCTCGGGCGACAGGGGCCTCCAGGGTCCCAAGACCGTGCGGTGACGGACCGTGCGGTGAGGTCTCTTGGGGTTCCAAGGTCACCGCACGGTCTGTCACCACACGGTTTTGGGACCCCCAACCGTTGGCACTGTCCTGGCTCAGGGGGGCGCTGGCCAAGAGGAAGGCAACCGGCCAGTCGGCCGAGTTGTCGGTCTGCTGTCGTGGCCCCTGCAGGTCTGCCCGCCTGGCCCCAGGGGCCCCCCCTGGGCCTGAGGGTGGCCAGACGATCGAAGGGCCAGGCGCCCACCACGTGGGGCGATCCAGACACGGCCCCGCCAGCGAGGGCCCGAGGAGTCGACACCTCCTCTTCTCGGCGGACGGCGGCGGAGCGGCGGCGGAAGCAGAGCCAGGGCGGCTCCACCAGCGGAAGGCCGGCGGACGGTGCTGGAAGTAGAGGCGCCCCCAAGAGATGCCGGGTATAGCCAGGACCCCAGGCAGGGGGACCCGCTTAGTAGGGCCCTGGAGCCCCTAAAGCGGCCAGAGTCACTAAACCAGGTCTGCCGTAGTGGGTGTTTTTTCGGGTGGCGGCAGTTCCGGTCAGGTGGAACGGGGCGGGGGGGCGTCGCCCAGTGCACATCACTAAACCCAGTTCTGCCAATGCCCGACGATAGCACGATTCCTGGGCTCAGGGCTTCCGAAGTCGATCATGTGGGGAGGGAGGGAGGACATCACTCCACGCGCTCCGCCCTTCAAGCTGGCCTTGGGCGCGTGGTCGATCGTGCGTTTTTGTTGGCATGGTTTCAGCCAAAACCAGCCCTGAGAACGGCCCCATTGAGGCACTGTGCCGTCACATCCCTCGATTCTGGACTGCTTCTGCGGCCCAAGGGAGCCCCGGCATCCTGGCGCGCTCTGCGTTCCTATCCTCCGTATGCCCCATTCTTACGACTTACTTTGGCTGTGGTAGAAACTCGGTGTCAGCACGCGTCTCGCGTCGCTCTGATTCCTCGGCGAACGCGTGAGAGTGATTTCGCCCACCCGGCCATTCGTTGTTTGGTGGGGTTTTGGCGCTCCTCCAGGGACCTCGGAGGCTCCAAAAGAGCCAAACGTGGTTTAGAATTTAGATCTCCCTCCTCCTCCCTCTCCTGCAGGAGACAGTGGTCCCAGTGATCCAGTCGGGTAGCGGAGGCATCCTGGGCGGCGGCGCTTTGTCGAGCGGGGGCTCGCCTGGTCCCGGGGTCGCGCAGCCTCTTGTGCGTTCCTGCTGCCACCCTGGCACAGCAGAAGATGCCCCAGAAGAGCTCCTCCTCCTCCTCCTCCTCCTCCTCCTCCTCCTCCTCCTCCTCCTCCTCCTCCTCCTCCTCCTCCTCCTCCCCCCAAGCGGGGGCCACTTCCCTGGGGCCCGCCCGGCGGACCTGCCTGACTGTGCCTCGCCTCCGGCTCGACTCCAGCCCGACTCCAGCTCGGCTCGAGCTCGAGCCGGGTTGGGCTCCCGAGCCCACGGAGACGTCCCACGCGGCACCGACGCAAGCGTGGAGCCCCGGTGGCCTCCGAGGTCGGCGCCGTCATGCCGCCCCGCTATCGGGGGCGGAAAAGAGAGGGGTGATGACTAGGGGCGGTGGGATATCATGGCGGGGCCCATGATATTTCCCCAGGTTTCCTGGCGCCCCTTCTTATTTCATTACGTCCCTGGCCCCCCCGCTGGGCCGCGCACATGCCGCCGGTCATGATCTGCACCCCCCCCCCTCTTGGACACCCCCCTCTCGGCCGCTCCCGACGCTAGCCGTCGTGGGTGCCGGCCGGCCGCCTCCCGCCGCCCTGCGCAGGCCGCCGGAGGGCGCCCGCGGCGGGCGGTCCGCCCCGCAGGGGCACGGCGCTGGGCCGTGGCCGCGGGGAGAGACCAGCTGCGCTCGTGGTGATCGACCACGAAGGCAGAAACCTTCGCCGGCGAAGTCCGAGGCCTCGGCGATCGACGAGTCGGGCAACTCGATGGGCGGCGGGGGGGGCAGGGTTCGGATGTCGCCACCCCACACCTCGAATAATAATAATAATAATAATAATAATAATAATAATAATAATAATAATAATAATAATAATAATAATATATAATATCATCATCATCATCATCATCATCATCATCATCATCATCATCATCATCATCATCATCATCATCATCATCATCATCATCATCATCATCATCATCATCATCATCATCATCATCATAATCCTAATCATAACAATAATACATAATAATAATCATAATAATAATACTACTACTAATAATAATAATAATAAGAACAAGAAGAAGAGGAAGAAGAAGCAAAAGAGGAAGCAAGAGCTGTATGTGCACGGCTTCTTTTGGAGGTCCGTGCAGGTGTCTCAGATCGGAGCCGGACCCCTCGGCGGGACCTGCCGCGCCTGCCAGGAGGGGGGCCCGGTGCCGACGTCCGAGAAGCCTGCGCGGACCTCCGGCGGTCTTGTGCCGCTTGCTTCGCAGGCGTCCAAAGTCCCTCCTTCTCCTTTCCTCCTCCTCCTCCTCCTCCTCCTACCCTCCTCCTCCTCCTCCTCCTCGTCCTCCTCTTCCTCCTCCTCCCCATCCTCCTCCTCCCCCTCCTCCTCCTCCTCCTCCTCCTCCTCCTCCCTCCCTCCTCCTCCTCCTCCTCCTCCTCCCTCCTCCTCCTCCTCTTCCTCCCTCCTCCCTCCTCCTCCTCCTCCTCCTCCTCCTCCTCCTCCTCCTCCTCCTCCTCCTCCTCCCCCTTGTTCCGAGGAGGGGCTTTACCCACGAGTGGCCACCGCCTTGGGGGGTCGATCTTCGTACTCCTCGACGGTCGGTGGTTCTGGTCGCATTCGGGCCCCCCGAGGGGGGCCAAGAACATGTCCATGTCCACCGCCTGCCGAGGTCGCGGAGGGTCGATGCCGCAGGCGGCGGCTATGGATAAAAGCTCCCGCCTCGCACTCTCGGGTCCGTGGAGCCCGCCAGCATCCCTGACCTCTCGTCGTGAAGCAAGGCATTCAAGGGGCCCAGGGGGCAAACAAAGATACACAAATCCCATGACTCACTAGATTCTTAAAACATTAATTTAATGTTGTCTTCCCCGCCGTTTCCCAAATTTTCCCGTACTTCCTACGACCACCCTTCGGGTGATCAGTAGGTTGGGGGGAGGGGCAAGAACCCCTTCTGGCAACTGCGATGGATGTGATGATGACGATGCTGGTGGCGCGCCCTCGAATCAGCGACGAAGCGTGATGACGATGTTGCGCCGCGATGTGATGCTACTTTCGACCCCGCTATCGATTTCACTCGATCCATCCCACCATCGACCTCACGGCCAGTCTTAGCATCGATCGATTCAGCGATCGATCCCAGTAGCGATCTCACACTGAGTGGCGCTGAGCACGATCTCACAATCGATCTCACTATCGATCTTACGATCGATCTTTCTATCGATCGACCGATCTCACTATCGATTTCACTTTTGATCTCTGGAGCGATCTCAGTCGACCCCACATTCGAGCTCACAGTCGATCCTGTCGATCTCACTATCGATCTCACGATCGATCTCACAATCGATCGCACCATCGAGACCACTATCGGCTACACTATCGACGCAGCTACCGAGCTCACTATCGATCTCATTGCCGTTCGCACGAACGATGGAAATACCGATCCCACCATCGACCTCATTATCGATCCAACTATCGATCTCACTACCGATCTCACCACATTTTGGTCGTTATCGATCTCACTATCGATCTCATTGTCGATCGGGGCACCATCGGGTCACCATGGCGGGACACCGCGGGACACCACGGGACACGACGGGACACCACGGGGCACCACTGGGACACCGCAGGACACCACGGGACACGGACACCGCGGCGGGACACCGCGGGACACCATCGGGACAACGCGGGGCACCACGGCGGGACACCCCCAGCCACCGCGCGCCCACCGGAGGGCCGGACTTTTCCATCCGAGTCGCCCTAGCGACGGCGGGATCATTCCTCTCGTGCGCCCACGGCGAGACACCTCGGGACACCATCGGGGCAGCGCTGCACACCACGGCGGGACATTCGCAGGCACCACGCGCCAACCAGAGGGTCAGCCTCTTGCATCCGCATCGTCCGAGCAACGGCGGGAGCATTCCTCTCGCGCGCCGTCCACGCAGCCTCGCCTCGCCCGCGCGCTCGACACGAACACGCAGCCGAAACCGATCTCCCATTGGGGGGGCTCTCTCCGTTCCAATACGACCTCCACCCCAACCTCCGATTTGACTGGGCACCGAGGATTCTTTGTGTCCGTGTGTATTCTTCCATTCCTGAACGATGGCGGAACTTCTCTTGTGGGGTGGGTGGGCAGCCATTTTCGGCCTCCGGGGCCGTGCCGGGCCCCAGGGCTGCAACAAGAATTGCCCGGGATGGGCAGCCATTCCCCGAGACGCGGGCCAGACCCTTTCTGGAGAGCCACGTTGCGACAACAAACCCGGCCGGCATCGGTTGTATGGAATTGGGTAAGAGCAGGGGGGGTGACTGGGGGCGACGAGCCGTACAGTTAACCGGCATAGTAGGAAGGGGCACCCTTCCCAAGGGTGCGCTTGCATCCTTGCCGCCTCTGTCCATCCTTGACCACTTTCGTTGGCCGCGCCCCGCTCGAGTAGCTTCGAAATGTCCTTCCAAGGCCCTTGTATCCTTATCGCGCATCCTTCTGGTACGGGCCGATTGTATTGAGGGACGGGTGGCAGCAGGGGCTGGAGGGGCCAGGGCAGAAGCGATCGGGGGAAGGTCGCAGAGGAGGGGAAGCCGGGGGAGGGGCAGGGGCAGGTGGATGCGGAGGCGGGATGAGGCGAAGGCGGGTGAGGGGGGCAGGAGGACGAGCGGGGGAGGAGGGGGCAGGCAGGGTGAGCAGCGCGGGGAGGAGGGGGTGTGAGAATCGGCGTGTTGTGGGGGAGCCTGGCAGGTGGAAGAGGAGCTCGGGGGAGGGGCGGCAGCGGCAGGCCGACGAGGTGGAGCAGCAGGGCGAGGAGGAGGAGGAGGAGGAGGAGGAGGAGGACGACGAGGAGCAGGAGCAGGAGCAGGAGCAGGAGCAGGAGATGATGATGATGATGATGATGATGATGATGATGATGATGATGATGATGATGATGATGATGATGATGATGATGATGATGATGATGATGATGATGATGGTGGTGGTGGTGGTGGTGGTGGTGGTGGTGGTGGTGATGATGATGATGATGATGATGATGATGATGATGATGATGATGATGATGATGGGATGGAGCAGCATGGCGATGAGGAGGAAGAGGAGGAGGAAGAGGAGACCCTCATCAGCCCTTCAACTCCCCCTCCTTCGTAGCCAGGTGTCGTGTCCGCCGTTCTGTCGTTCCCTTCTTCTGTCCCACCTGCTTTACACGGCTACCAAGTTAGCTTTCGTGCTGCTTTTGGCGATGGCCCAGGGCAACCGACCGCTCCAGTCACAGCGTGACATACCGGCGGTCAGCTTCGAGCTTCGAGCTGGCGACCCTGCCTCGGCCCCAGGAGGACGACGAGGACGATCGGGTGGCAGTCAACGGAGAAGGGGACAGCAAAACACATGAGAGCAGCCAGGGGTTGCGGGAGAGTGGCCCTGCAGGGCCCCTAAATTGTTACCCCGGCCGCAGGAGGTGCTGGAAAGGTGCGCCGGCCCTCACTCCACCTTGACTTTCCCAAGGTTGCCCTCAAGCCTAGAGCTGGAGTGGTACAGTCAAGACGCTGAGAGAAGGACCTCTTCGGGCTCGAGAGGAGCTGGTTTCCAGGCCGTTCCTCACGTGTAGGTCGTGAGTGGGACCTATTTGTGGCCGAGGCTCGTCGTTGCCAGGAAAGCCCCTTCGGGTCCATTTCTGGCGTTCTTTCTGGTAGCGCGATGGCTCTCGGGCAGGGAGGGAGGAGATGGAACGGCCTGGCGAGGCCCTGCCCTTGGGACGCGAGGTGCGCGGCGAGGGACGCTGCGAACTCCGTTCAGAGCATGTGCCAGTCAGCCAGTCGGTCGGTTTCTGCCTCCTCCGTAGAGCTCGAGACTAATCAATTCACACTTTGCATTATGGTGTTCCAATCAACTATAGCCTTGATCACCATACAGAATTCCGAGCACCAAGAAGGTACCGAAACTGGAGGGTTTTCGCGTGCCGGGACCTGGGAGGCGACACTCGTTCTGGGTGATCGAAGTCATTTCTGGGATGTGGTCCTGAAGTGCGATGGGAACAGCACGAGCCCTGCACCACGCTTCTTCATCCCAGCTGTGCGTGCGTTTGCGCTGTCTGCGCTCCCCGCCTCGTGCCCCGAGGGGTGTTTTTTGTTGTTGCAGCTTGCCCTCCGCCACGGGCGCCGCGAGGCCAACTGCGTCAAGTTCGATCTGACCAGGATCGACCGGTACGAGGAGGACCGCTTGCCGTCGGGAGCCTTGAGGCGGGGGTCAATGCAAATTGGGGTCAGCCAGAGCGCCAGATCTTGCAGGATCCTGCGAAGGCGCCCTCTGGCTTACCCGGGTTAGCGAGCCGCTTGTGGCCGCGAGGCGGCCGCGCATGTTGGCTGACCCGGGTTTGCGAAAACATGCGTTGCGGTTTTTGTTGTCTTGCATTGCAGTTGTTTGTTTTCCTGCTGACCCGGGTGTGGATTGACCCGGGTCAGAAGATCCCCGATGCCGGTTGGCTCGTTGTCGTCTGCCCGAGTGTTCGGTGCCGCGCAGATGTTAGGAAACTTGGTGCTCGCCGCATCGGGTCACACTCACTGCTCAGCGTGCTCACCAGCGACACCCCGCCTGGAGCGTGTCATCGCAGTCCGCAGCCATGCGCTGCTTCGCTCTTTCTGGAAGGCGGATGGCTTATGCATGCATGCGCGCGTGCCTTCGTTTTATCATATCAGCATAGCGAGGGCACTCACGCAACGTCTAATACTCAGGACTTGGATCACGGAAGGCGTACTCGCCCCGTCGGGCACGTGTTCACGCTAGCCGCACCACAGTTTGTCGTTCCTCACGTCTGTGCAGCCTAGTGTACAGCAGACAGATCTGATACGGAACCTTGCTGCACGAGATCTTGGAGCATACCGTAACCCTTCGTGGACCGGACCTTCTAGGGCCCTACGGTTCCCCACAGCTGCTGCGAATCCTGTGACGTCGGGCGATTGCAGCTTTCCGTGGGGCGCTTGCTGAGTGGCCGATGTGTTTTTCAATGTGCTTATTGTATCTTCCCGCCCTCCCAGCACACAGGCTGGCGTACTCCAGTAAGGTCGAAGTCAATGTAATCCAGCATGTGTGGGTACTCACGATATTGGTTTGAGCTGATTGCCGCATCCGATAACGCACCCGCTCTTCTCGCGAAATATCCGACGGCCGCTAACATTTGCACCGTTCTCTTCGCGAGCGTGCGTGTTCGTCTTACCTTGCTGCCCACGCATGAACACAGGCAAGGCTCGAGCGTCGCTGAGCTGATTCCGCATCTGGAGAGCCAGATCTGTGGTTGGCTGTTTAATCTGAACTGCTTGGCTCTTTTGCAGGCGCGCTCTGCCCGTGCGCGGCCCCGCGTCTCATCCTCCCTGCTGGATGCGCGCTTGCCGAGAGTGCACGGCGCCCCTCTGTCGCCGCTGGCGACGCCGACGACGACAGCGACCCCAGACTGCCTCTGTCGGACTATTTGTTCAGCCCGTGTGCCCCATAGTTCTCTCGACCCCTCGCCCGAACCGATTCCTCACGTGGCTGTCCGAAGCTTTCAGTCCCTGGAGGCCCGTCTTGCGGGCCGAGGGAGCGTCGTACAACAACCAAGGAGGAGAAACAATCGCCGGCAAGGGGTAGAGCGGTACAACATGGCACGTGGGGCACCGAGGACACAATCTTTTCTGAGTTTCTCAATTTTTTTTGGGCCTCCTGGGCTGCTCGTCGTGGCCACGGCTGGGTCCGCCTCGAAATCTTGGCTAGGGCGCACCTTGCACGATGTCTGGAGTGCCGATTTCGAGGGGGGAGGGGCAGTAGGAGTCTGGAGGAGGACTGGGAGGCAGTGGGGGTGGAGGAGGGGGAGGAGGAGGAGGAGGAGGAGGAGGAAGAGGAGGAGGAGGAGGAGGAGGAGGCGGAGAAGGAGGAGGAGGAGGAGGAGAAGAAGAAGGAGGAGGCGGAGGAGGAGGAGGAGGAGGAGGAGGAGGAGAGGGAGGAGGAGCAGGAGGAAGTAATATTGACTTAGATGCTCGTTTGGGTGACCTACCTGGGGCCTACCTATCGCACCTGTTCGCTCGACTCGTGGTCGACGCAAGCTCGACTCCAGCTCGACTCAAGCAGACGTAACGTTATTGACGCAGCACGAGTGGAGCGAGCGACTCGCAGAATGTCCCAGAACGCGCATCCAACCTGAGGAGCAAGAACAGATGGGAGGTCCATGCCCCGCGTATCCTGATCATGTTCTTCCTTCCTTCCAAGTGTGGCCGCAGAGGAAATCGAGTCCCCCTCGTATCCCAACGTGGTGACCGTCTACCGCAAGGAAGCGTCTGGGGAGCTTGCCACGGTCGTGCAAGAGCGCGTTGGGTGGCATGGCATGTAGCAAGCAGGCGAGAAGACGTGGCAGAGGAGGTTGCAGTAGGGCTATTCACAGTTCGGTGGGGTCTCCTGAGGTCTTCTTGAGGCACCCAGGAGCCCAACGAGGGCAGATCATGTCGACGTTCAACGTCCCAAGCTGTTTGCAGCCTCCCGCCCTGCGGGACGGAGCGAAACGCTATCCGTTTGCAGGGTGTATCGTGTCGTCAGGGCCGCCACTGCGACATTCTATGCAAATGTTCCTGATCTCACTTACCCCGACGGGCGACCCACCTCCACGGATGGTGCGCTTCAGCGCGCGCGGGAGAGGGGAAAGAGTAGGAGGAGGAGGAGGAAGAGGAGAAGGGATGAGGAGGTGGAGGAGGAGGAGAAGAAGACGAGGTTGAGAAGGATGAGGGTCGATTCTAGGGAGGGTGGGAGGGTGGGAGGGGAGAAAGAAGGAGGAGGGAGCCGGGTCTTCAGACTCTGCCGATCGGGCCGGATCTTCGGTACTCGTTTTTCCCCATATCCTAAGATGGGGTTCTTGTTATTACTTGGATGCCTCCTACTCCCTCTCCTTCTCCCTCCTCCTCTTTCCTCCTCCCCTCCTCTCGGACTTACTCATACTCAGACTTGCTCATACTCAGACTTACTCATACACAGACTTATTCATACTCAGACTTACTCATACTCAGACATACTCATACTCAGACTTACTCACACTCAGACATACTCATACACAGACTTACTCATACACAGACTTACTCACACCCAGACGTACTCATACACAGACTCACTCATACCCAGACTTACTCATACACAGTATTAGTCATACTCAGACCTACTCATACCCAGACGTACACATACACAGACTTTCTCATACACAGACCTGCTCATACCCAGACTTACTCATACACAGACTTACTCATACACAGACTTACTCCTACTCAGGCATACTCATTTTCAGCACCCTTAAGGGGAGCCGCCAGGGGTTTTTGCACGGGCTCGTTCGCGGCCATTTTGTGGGGATGTCTCAGGCGGTTTGCTTGTTTCTGGGCTCAACATCCTTTGTTGTGGGATGTCTCAGGCGGTTTGCTTGCACGGGCTCGTTCGCGGCCATGTGGGGATGTCTCAGGCGGTTTGCTTGTTTCTGGGCCAACATCCTTCGCTTGGAGAGCAGATTGTGAGGATGTCTCAGGCGGGGCGCTGGTTTCAGCACCCCTAAGGGGAGCCGCCAGGGGTGGTTGCACGGGCTCGTTCGCGGCCATTTTGTGGGGATGTCTCAGGCGGTTTGCTTGTTTCTGGGCTCAACATCCTTCGCTTGGAGAGCAGAATGTGAGGATGTCTCAGGCGGGGCGCTGGTTTCAGCACCCATAATCAGAGGCCAGCAACATATGTACACGTACGCGGTTAGCTTCCCCTGGAGGGCGTTTGAACGAGGACGTTCGTGCACTCAAGATCGCGGAGGGCGTACATGTACATATGTCGTTGCTCGCTCACATAAGGGGAGCCGCCAGGGGTGTTTGCACGGGCTCGTTCGCGGCCATTTTGTGAGGATGTCTCAAGTGGTTTGGTTGTTTCTGGGCTCAACATCCTTCTTGGCCATTTTGTGGGGATGTCTCAGCGGTTTGCTTGTTTCTGGGCTCAACATCCTTCGCTTGGAGAGCAGATTGTGAGGATGTCTCAGGCGGGGCGCTGGTTTCAGCACGGAGCCGCCAGGGGTGTTTGCACGGGCTCGTTCGCGGCCATTTTGTGGGGATGTCTCAAGCGGTTCGCCTGCTTCTGGGCTCAACATCCTTCGCTTGGAGAGCAGATTGTGAGGATGTCTCAGGCGGGGCGCTGGTTTCAGCACCCCTAAAGGGAGCCGCCAGGTGTGTTTGCACGGGCTCGTTCGTGGTCAGTTTGTGGGAATGTCTCAGGCGGTTTGCTCGTTTTCATGCCCAACATCGCCGGCGGGGCTGCGCCTCCAAAAGTGGTGAAACGCGCCCTGGGGAACCAGGGTTGAGGAGGAAGAGGGGGAGGAAGAGGAGAAGGAGGAGGAGGAGGAGCAGGAGGAGGACTGGGGGAGGAAGCAAGGGGATCAGGACGATGAGGTGAAGGATGACGACAAGGATGAGGAGGATGATGTCTAAGAGATTGAGGACGAGGAGGAGGATGGCGTGAGCGAGGGAAATGACAGGAACGAGGATGAGGCGGAGGAACAGGAGGAGGAGGAGGAGGAGGCGGGGGATCGTGAGGAGGGGCATGGGTAGCATCTGGGATGCTCCAAAGCTGGCCTTGCGACAAAGCTACCACGGGCTGACAAGGGGAAGGCCTGGCAGCTGAGGAGGGGGGATGAAGAGGAAGAGGCTCGCATTCAACCATACTCAAAGCTCACTCTGACTCATACGCAATCACTCGCATTAGGGGTCGCTCGTCTTCGTCGGCCCTGTCGCCCACGTGGACGCGCTATTGTAGTCGACCGCTCA